CCAGAGAGAGACAGAGAGAGAGAAAGGGAAAGCAAGAAAGGAAGCTGCCAGGTCCGGGACTCGAACTGTGGTTGACCATATGGGAATCCAGCACCTTTAACCACCATACCACCTGCCAGCCCTAAGGCTAAGGTATTTTCTAAGAATGAGGAGGATGGGGAGCAAAGCTAGGGTCTTTCTTTTTTTCTTTTCTTTCTTTCTTTTTTTAAAAAGACTTATTCATGTGGGACCAGCAGATGGCATAACGGTTATGTTGCTGGATCCCCACGTAGTCAACCGCGCTTCAAGTCCTGAGCCTGGTGGCTTAAACATGTGGGGCACCACACATGCCCAAGATCCTGAGAGGAGAATGGAGGAGAAGGGACTGCAGCATGGCCACCCTCCTGGTGGTGATTTCTCGCTTTCTGTCTCTCTCCGTATCTATAGCATGAGCATGTGCCCTATAGCAAAAATCTCTCTCTCTCAAAAAAAAGAATTATTCATTTAATTTTATTTACCATTATTCTTCTTCAGTTTGACCAGAGAGAGAGAGAGACAAAAAGAGAGAGAGAGAGAAAGCAAGTTACTAGGTCTGGGACTCAAACTATGGTTGGCATGCTGGAGTCCAGCACCTTACCACAATGCCACAATGCCACCTGCTGGCCCCAGAGGCCAGGATCTTTTTTTTTTTTAGAGAAAAATTTTTGCTATAGGGCATGTATGCTCGCTCATCAGAGAGACAGAAAGGATAAAGCACCTCCTGGGGGGATGGCCATGCCGCAATCCCTTCTCCTCCATTCTCCTCTCGGGATTTTGGGCATGCACGCACATGTGCCTAGCATGAGTTTTAAGCCACGGGTCCTGGACTCGAACTCCAGTCAATTACATGGGAGTCCAGCAACGTAACCATTACACCACCTGCTGGTCCCAGAGCGGGAGTTGTAAGTAAAGAGAGGAGAATCATAAATGATTGCTCTGAGCAGAAATGGAAGTCAAAGGTTGGATGAACACCCCTGAATACCCAAATGATATTGAGCAACCCAAATGTGTCATAGCGGTGGTTGCCATGGTTACAATCCCTCCCCCCCTTCCACAGATGGGGAAAGAGAGTAGAAATGTGGTATAGTGAAAGACCAGCTGTTAAAGGAAACTAGAGAACCAGAGAAGATTTTAGTGAAATTGGTGGCTCATGAGAATACAGGTGAGCAGCAGCTAAAGTTTATTTTGCCAAGCCCTGTGCTGGGTATAGGTGGTCAGTATAGGCTACTGCTTAGAAAATAGGCATTTGAATCAGAGGGACTTGGTTAGAATGCTAGCTTTATTATTTATGGCTGTGAGATGTAGGGTACTACCTATTATCTCGGCTTTCTGGTTGTAAAATAGGACACAAATCTACTGCAAAGGATTACTGTTAGAATTTAATGAAGTCAATGTATGGGAAGCCCTTACTTTGGGTATAGTGATGGCACACAGAATGTGCTGAATACATTTTAAGTACTAAAGCTGGAACTGAATCAAAGTGATTCTGACTGCGTGTCCAGTGCTTTTCTGGTCCTCCTCACTAACCTGATGTTCTTTCTGTTTGGAGGGCATTACCTTCAGGCAGGCAATCTTCAGTGGAGCTTACCCTTATCAGCTGCTCCAGACTCCTACATGCATGTTGGTAAGATGTGAGGCCTCTGGCCTTGGTAGGGGATCTAAAAACTGCTGACAATAGGAGAAGCTAGTTTAACCACTATTGTACACATCTGTTCTACACACCAGTCTGCTTCTTGCAATGAATGGAAAAGCTTTTTGCTGAGTGAGATGCTAAAATGGGTGCCTGGCAGGACCCTCTGTCATGTACTTCTAGAGATCTTTAGAAATGAAAGGATACATATTCTCCCTACCCCACCCACTTCTGTCTGAAATTGTTTAAGCATGAGTAATGAAATAAATTGAGGACAGCCAGAGATTATCTACAGACAGGTTTAGCAACTTGCTCAGTTCCTGGCAAACCAAGACTTGTAACCATTTTCCTCACTACCAATTTGTTTACTTAAATTTTTGTTTTTTAGGTAGTAACTACTATTTAATTGAAAAAGCTATACAGGGACAAGGAAAATAATTTCCAAGTGCAAATGATATAAGATTTAAAATTATGGTCCTACTTCAGGCCCTTTACTTTCAATCCTTTTCCTGGCTGTCACTACTGTTAACAAATTTTTGGGTATCTTTCCAGAAATATTCTACCTATACAATTACACACACACACACACACACACACACACACACATATACATATGAAGGGACTTCAACAAGTTCATGGAAAATGGAATTAAATTATAAATTTATTTTAGTGTAAAAATTTGAAAAACCTGCATAATTTTTTAAAAAATAAGATGCATTTTCCATGAGCTTTTTTCCCCTTTATTCACGAGGGAGCATGTTTGAGCACATGAGAGTAAAAGAGAGAGACTGAGAGAGAGGAGCATCCTTCTTAAGATCTGGCACGCCGTGATCTCCTTCCTCATTTCCTCCAGCCTGTCAGATCAGCCTGTCAGATCTTCAGCACTTGAGTGTGTGCCTGATGTGTCCCAGGCTGATAGACTTTGGGATTCAAACAGTGACCCGGCTTCCCTTGAGCATGTGTTACTGCTGTGCGAGGACCCAGCCTTTCATGAACTTTTGGAGACCACTTCACATTTATGAATGTTTATTATTAAAACATAACAAAGCAAGTGGGAACATTATATATTGCTTCATGCCTTGATTCCTCCCCCCCCCCCAAAATCTGGAGACAGCTCACATCCAAATAATATTTCTTTTTCTTTCTTTTAAATGATTTCATGATAATCCATAGTATGGTTGTTACACAAATTATTATTATTTTTTGAGATAGTTTTGCTATAGGACAGAGAAAGACAGAGAGAAAGAAAGTGAGAAATACCCCCCTCTCCCGGGGGGATGACCATGCCACAATCTCTTCTTCTCCATTCTCCTCTTGGGATTATGGGCATGTATGCACCTGTGCCTGGTATGAATTTCAAGTCACTGGGTCTGGGACATGAACTGAGGTGGACCACCTGGGAGTCCAGCACCTTAACCATGATGCTACCTGCTGGCCTCATATGGCACAATTTAGTCTCAACTTCTAGTTTGGTTCTTTTGACATGCCTTTTTATTTTTGTGACAACACTATCACTATCAGGTTCTAAACCTGGTAGTGATATTCAACCTATTCATTCCTGTTATTTAGTAATCCCTGCCAATTCCTTCTGTACAGTGCCTTTCGTATTTGTCCATTCTTTGCCATTCTCATTGTTCTGATTTATTTCTTGCCATCTCCTATAGCATTTTCCTGTCTCCAAATTCTCTATGTCCACACATCTTGCATACTTGTTCTTTTTGAGAGAGGTTTTTTTTTTTTTTTTTGCTATAGGGCACGTGCGCTCGCCAGTCAG